AAGTCCCATGTTTGGGTTTTCTCATCCAACACTGGAGGGATGCCCTCTTGCCCAGGCCTTTGGTGCCCCTCACAAATTCAGCTCCTGTGCTGTTTACAGAGAAGACCTCGTTTTAAAAAAACCCAAGGCCTGCCCTTTGGTTCAGGGTCCAGTTCTGGCTCCAGAGCGGTAGTTCTTAGAGCCTTGCTCTCCTGATCCTCAAACCTCGGCCCTGCCTGTCCCGCTCTGCTGGCTCGCACGTCTCCACAGCCAATGTCTGCTCCACGGTCTCCTGAGCTCAGTCCTCTGCACCCTTTCCCACCTGGTCACCCCGGGGGGTCGGCCTGCAGAACCAGCCTCAGGCTCCCCCAGGGTAGGCAGAACCCGGTGACATGGCCCCAACTGTGTCTCTGAGCTGTTGCTCAGTTTCTTGACTCGAGGTCCAAAGTGACTTCATTCAGTTTGCAGGACACCAACTCCTCACCCCCACGCTTGGAAACGGCAAGGTTCTCGCAGGCCCTGGGGGAGGCCCTCACTGCTCCCTCCGGTGTGGCCCTGTGTGCCTACCCCATGCCTGGGCCTGCGTGCCCGCCCCACGCCAGTGCCATGCCTGTGGCTGCAGTCACTGTGCAGTGTGGTCAGTGCCTGGCACCCCAACCCGAGGCTGTGTCTCCTGGCCCTGCCATCACATCACGCTCAAGGCCTCACTCTTATTCGGTGTCCAGCCGACACTTGGTCGAATTACAGAATTAAAAAACAAAGCCTCGGGAGCAAGGGTGTTAAGGAACGCAGCTCCACACTTCACAGTGGTCCCTGCAGCCATCCACGCTTAGCTGCTGCCCTCACTCCCACCCACACACTGTGTGTGCCTCAGCCTACTGCCTACTGTGCTCACTGAGCTGGCACACTTCTCCAAATGACAGCTACGGCAGCATCTCTATATATAAAAGCCTTAGTAACTGGACAACCGGCTGACTGGCTGGTCGCTACGACACGCACTGACCACCAGAGGGTGGACACTCAGTGCAGCAGCTGCCCCCGATGGTCAATGCGCTCCCACAGCAGTAGCCACTCAGCTGACAGATGGACGCCAGATGCCAGGCTCAGGGCTGGCGAGCGCAGCTGCAGGGGCGCAGGTCTCTCCCGCGGACACTCCCCCTGCGCCCCTGAGCAGAGGTGGCGGGCACAGCAGGGCCAGGATGAGTCTGGCCCCAGCTCGGCTCCTCCCCCGCTGCCTGCCCCTTCCCGCACTACTTCATGCTGAATCTAGTAAATTAATAAAGTACTCTGGGTTAACTGCCAAGTATCTTGACACTTTGCATAATTTTAAAAGCTTTTCTATAGTAAACTGAGTAATTCTCACCTTGGTGCTTACAAAACAACACAACTAGAAAAACAAACACCAGCCTGCCTCCCTAGAGGCTGTTGCTATGGAGACAGAAGGCCTCTTGGGACATCCCGCTGGCCAGGCTAACCTGCTTATCACACTGTCCCTGCCAGCTGAACAGGACATGCCTCATCACGGTCGAGGCACGATTCCAATGGGAACTTAGGAGTCTTTGCCCACCTATAATTTTTGAAAATGATTCAGCTCTGCCATCACTTATATTCCAACTGTCAGTTATCTTTTTTAAAAAATACATATTTTTATTGATTTCAGAGAGGAAGGAAGAGGGAGAGAGAGATGGAAACACCAATGCTGAGAAAGAATCATCTATCACCTGCCTCCTGCACACCCCACCCTAGGGATCAAGCCCACAACGCAGGCATGTGTCCTGATTTCCTGGTTCGACCACTGATCCACACCAGCTGAGCTCTAATTCCACTATATTTTGAGCTATACTTGTCTATTCATCATCACTCCACAACAATCCACTCGCACTCCCTCAATCTTCAGTTTGTCTAACCTTATTTTGCTATAATTTCCATGCCTTGTCAACACACATTTCAAACAATGCAATTCATGATGCATACATTTTGATATTTTGCTATGTTTTATTTGAGTATCCATCATAATCATTCTCACTGTCTTTCATACAATCTCCAACTTTAACCCCCAAGTGCTTGCATTACTCTCCACTCAGTGGGTGGACTGCTGTCCGCTACTCACTGCCATATCACTGAGGTCACTGGGCAGTTTGGTTGCTTACAGAACTTTCCCTCCTGGCAGGAAAGCAGCAATGAGCACTGTTCACCTGAGAGCCACCTCCACCTCTTCAGAGGGAATGATGTGCACGGATTGTCACTGTGGGAACCATTTATTGCAGGACAGACTCATGCGATCGTTCATACCTGAAATAGTTCTGGTCTTCATTTGCTATGGATACTGTTCATAGCTTCTTTTGATAATCACATAAACAAAATATACAAAATGCTCTGAAGCTTTAAAGTGGCATAGGAAGTACATCCAGAAGAATTAGAAATAAATAAAGCGGTCAAGGACCTCCTGATGGAAGTGAGAGGCGAGGACAGGCTGGCTGGGTGCAGGCGGTGGCAGGAAAACCAGGAGGGGTTTCGGTGGGAGAGGCTGGGACGGGGCGGCGGGAGGCGGAAGCTGAGGAAGAGCCAACCTTTCACAGAAGACATGGCAGCCAGCTCGGGACGAGGCTGAGGAGATAACAGGCTTCTGATCTGTGCTGAGCATTTAGAGTAAAAAAAGTGAAAAATCAAGCTGCCTGAGAAAGAGTGACATCCAATAGTGGTGATCCTAAAATACCAAAGGGCCCCGAGTCAGACGGTGAGCAGTCAGGCTGCGTCTGCGGGAGGCCGGGGAGCAGGGCGGCAGGGGTCCAGCAGGAAGACCAGGTTTTAGGGGGAATGACACCCATTCGAGGTCCAGGTCGTCGGACCTGTGTGGGTACCAGGAGCAGTAACACCAGTCAGCGACAAAGGCAAACAGAACCCAGGTCTCAGATCCGGGCAGGCATTCCCATCCTCAGTGGACAGGACCATCCACGCTGTAACCAGACGTGGGCTCGAAGGAGCGTACCTCCAGGTACCTGTGAGTGACCCAGAGCCAATGGTGCTGTGAGCTGGGCTCACCCAGTCCCGCTCCCTTCACTTCGACCAAATCTTTCATATTTTTGAGTTTATCACTTATTGCTTTGTGCTGCCATCCACATATTTCTATTTCCTCCCTCAGTACATGGGCCTCTCAGTGCACCAAATAAGGCGCCCAGGCACTAGACTCCCCATAGCCCTTTCTCCGCAGCTTCTCGGGCCAGTGCGACCAGCTCTGCTGCTGCTACAAGAGCTGAAGGTACGCTGCCCCCTTCCTGCAGCACGGGCTCCCGACGGGCCACGCCGGCAGAGCCACGGCCACGCCGGCACAGGCGGCTGCCCAAGTGAGCCGGGAGATGAGCTCAGAAATGATGAAATGACGTGGGAACCATTGGGCAGGGGTAGCATAAGAGAAAGAAATGTCTGCCAAGAAGTTATCTTCAATGGAAGTAATTCTTAGAAAAAAGCAGAGATTGTGAAAACCAGAACCTAACTTCTGAGAGTCTGGAAGCTTCTTCCAGTAGAGCAGTGGTCTACAGCCGGTGGCCCTTGCCACAGATATCCCTGAGGTCCGAAGGGCTGCTGCTCAGTTTGATGAAGGTAATGGGAGGGAGGGGGGTTTAAAACATGGGTGATTCGTACACGCCTGTCTTGCTAATGGAGATAGCGGCTCCTGTGTGCTCCCCAAGAAGTGGCCCTGACCTTCCATTCACCGGACCCTGGACTGGCACCTCGTCCATCAGTCAGGGCTCCCTGGGCTCGCAGTGTACCGAGCAGGGAGCCGGCGGAATGACCCCAGCCCGGAAGGCCCGTGTGTCCCTGAGCGCCGTCTGACAGGCCCACAGGGATCAGGGCCACACGGCTTCCCCTGGAGGCATCACCACAATGCCACGGGGAGAAGACGAGTGAAAAGGCAGCCAGAGCGCTGGGAGCACAGCCCTTCGCTTGTCGCCTGGCGGCTTGTAGTGAACAGAAATGTCTCATAAGCTGTTTATCGGGCTCCCTGCCTCGTGACCAGCGAACTGGCCATAGGGTGGAGACGCTGGCAGGCCTCAGAACTCGGGGCTCTGCCCTGGGGGTGCCTGGTGCTGTCTATGGCATCAGGTCCTGGCACCAGGGAAGCCGGCAGAGCGCTTTGTCTGTAACATGACGTGGAATCTGTTTTCACGCACTGCCCCTGGCAAATAGGAAACCCTGTGTAAGCAGGAAAGTATTCCATTATTTATGGATCTGTGAGCACCAAAGTTGAGGCACGTCACTTGATTTTGGAATGGATGCTATTGGTAAAGATGTGGCCATTTTAATACTCTGATGCTAACGTAAAACATATTTTCATTAATCTTTAAGAACAGTTTACAGCTATTGGGGGAGAAAATGACTTTTCAGTATTATTCTAGATTCACTTTTCAATATTATGTGACTTCCCTTAATATTGTATTAGTGTGATTATCTGAGAACCGATGGCCTCAAAAAGCACATTTATCACAACATAAAATCTGTTTTAGCTTCCAACCTTAAAAAAAAAAAAAAGTGGCATAAAATAAAAAATAAAAGCAAATAAACAAACAAATAAATAAAAAATAACGTGAATTGGGTAAGCACAGAAGCCTGACAGGAGACCAGCAGGCTTGTGTGAAGGGCGAGGGCTGTCTCATGGACAGCCATCAGCTCCACGGCCCAGGACCCAGTGAGCACTCTCCTGGACGTGAGGACAGGGAGCTCCTCCAGACGGGCCGCAGGGGGCCCTCCTGGGACCTCGCGGGCACTCCTGGCTGGTGTGCACCGGGCTGCCATCTGTTCCCAGGCGGCACTTCCTAACCCTCGGCCCAGCACCTCGGCGCCCGGCAATGGACCGGTGCCGTCTCTGCTGCACGCAGACGCCCGCGGCCTTTAGTTTTTAAGACGCTTTTCTGACCCTTCGGTGTGAGCAGCCTGGGAAGGGGCCTTAGAACACGTGAGAACTGATTTCCAAAGCCTCTGTGGACCCCTGAGCTGCCCTTTCATGAGAACCCAACTCCTACCTTGAACACAAACATCTCGCGGCGGAGGACGGCCAGCGTGTTGAAGTTGCCTTCGCAGATGCTGGGCTTGGCGCCGGGGTAGGCGGGCCTGCCGGTGGGCGGCCGGGGCGGCCGGGGCCTGTCATTCCTGCGGGGGTCGGCCGGGGGCACGGAGCGGTGTGGGGGCGCCGTGGGCAGGGGTCTGGTCGGCGGAGGGGCCTTGTCCGGTGGACCTGCGGGAACAGGAGGACAGCGCCGGCTCATTTAAAGCCGGGAATCTGAACATCGTGCCCGAGAGCCCGCCATCCACAGAGGCACATGTAGGAGGCCTCTCCATCGTGCACTTCTGAGCAGCAAACCGTCTGACCCAGCGGCCCTGGGCCGCGTTGCTCAGAGGCCGCTACACATGCTCCCTCCGGGCCCAGGTGGCCAGGCTTTCCTAGTTAATTTTTAATGACAGTTTTTAAAGCTTTGCACAGATCTCCGTGGAAAAGCTGCTTTCAAATCCCTTTTGGAATAGGTGGTGCATAAATAATAAATAAATGGCAATCAATACTGGAGCCTCACATGTGAGTGCCACCATTTGTCCTGGATTTCGAGGGACAGTCTCTACACAAATATCTTTAAAAGTTAGCATAAACGAGTTAGTCCCATGTCTCCTGTTACAGTTTACAACCTCTTCCTGACTCATTTGGATCAACTGCTAGAACAGCTTCATGTGAGCACAGAATGGGAACTCCCTCTGATTAAGGCGCTGAGTCAAGCCAAAGTTTACACAGGTAATTCAGTGCAGATGCAGATCATCATTCCTTGAGGGATTTGGGTTTCTACAAAGAAACAGTGTTGGAGAGATTAAAAATGGAGCCCTAGCTGGTTTGGCTCAATGGATAGAGCATCGGCCTGCAGACTCAAGGGTCCCAGTTTCCATTCCAGTCAAGGCTATGTACCTTGGTTGCAGGCCCACCTACCAGTAGAGGGTGTGCAGGAGGCAGTTGATCAATGATTCTCTCTCATCATCGATGTTTCTTCTTCTTAATTATTATAAAAACATAACATACAATTTTCCATCTTCCCCCCATTATAGTTCACATTCAGGTGCACAACAGAGTGGTTCGACAGTCACACACTTTACAGAGTGGTGCCTCTAATATCTCAAGTACCCCTGGCCCGTACGTAACTATTACGATATTATGTTTTCCTCCATTGACCTCTCCTGCCACTCCCACCCCAGAAAATGCCCTCACCCCCTGGTGACTCTGGTGACTGTGTAATGCTCATGTTTATGCATATAAGTCCTTTGGTGGATCTCTTACCCTCACCCCCTGCCTTCCCTCTGAGGTTGGACGGTCTGTTCCATGCTTCTCTGTCTCTGCCTCTATTTTTATTAATCGGTTTAAGTTGTTCATTATACTTCACAAATGAGTGAGATCATGTGATATTTATCTTTCTCTAATTGGCTTATTTCACTCAGCATAATGCTCTTCAGACCCATCCATGATGTTGCAAATGGTAAGAATTTCTTCTTTTGACAGCAGCATAGTATTCTATTGTGTAGATGTACCACAGCTTTTTAATCCATTCGTCTGCAGATGGGCGCTTAGGTTGTTTCCAAACCTAGCTATTATAAATTGTGCTGCTATGAACATAGGGGTGCATATATCCTTTCTGATTGATATTTCTCGTTTCTTAGGATATATCCATAGAAGTGGGATCACTGGGTCTAATGGGAGTTCCATTTTTAGTTTTTTGAGGAAACTCCATACTGTTCTCCACAGTGGCTGCACCAGTCTGGATTCCCACCAGCAGTTCATGAGGGTTCCTTTTTCTCTGTATCCTCGCCAGCACTTGTCCTTTGCTGATTTGCTAATGATAGCCATTCTGGCAGATGTGAGATGGTACCTATTGTCATTTTGATTTGCATTTCTCCGATGATTAGTGACTTTAAAAGTGTTTTCATATGTCTCTTGGCCTTCCTTATGTCCACTTTCAGAAAGAATCTTTTTAGGTCCTTTGCCTATTTTTTTTATGGAGTTGTTTATCTTCCTTTGGTTAAGTTCTTTGAGTTCCCTGTAAATTTTGGAGATTAAACCCTTATCAGACGTAACATTGGCAAACATGTTCTCCCATGCAGTGGGTTTTCTTGTTTTGTTGATGGTTTCTTTTGCTGTGCAGCTTTTATTTTAATGTAGTCCCATTTATTTATTTTTTTTTAATTTCCATTATCCTAGGAGCTGTATGGGTAAAGATATTGATACGACAAATGTCTGATATTTTGCTGCCTGTGGTTTGCTCTAAAGTTTTTATGGTTTCCTATCTTACGTTTAAGTCCTTTATACATTTTGAGTTTATTTTTGTGTGTGGTGTTAAGTTGGTGGTCAATTTTTTGCATATATCTGTCCAGTTTTCCCAACACCATTTATTGAAGAGACTGTCTTGACACCTCCATTATATGCTCTTGCCTGATCAAATATTAATTAAGCGTAATGGCTTGGGTCGATTTCTGGATTCTCTGTTCTGTTCCAGTGGTCTATATATGTCTGTTCTTGTGCCAGTACCAGGCAGTTTTGAAAACTATGGCTTGGTAATACAGCTTGATATTTGGTATTGTGATACTTCCAACTTTGTTCTTCTTTTTCAGGATTCAGGGTCTTTTTTATTCCAGATGAATTTTTGGAGTTTGTGATAGGTCTATGAAATATGCTGCTGGTATTTTAATGCAGCTTGAATTGCATCTATAGATTACTTTGGGTAGTATGGATATTTTAATGTTGATTCTTCCAATACATGGACATGGTATATTCTTCCATTTGTTTATGTCCTCTTCTATCTCTTTATAAAACTTCCTGTAGTTTTTTGAGTTACATGTCTTTTACCTCCTTAGTTAAGTTTATTCCTAGGAATCTTAATTTTTTTATTGCAATAGTAAATGGGATTGCTTTTTAAAATTTCTCTTTCTCTATGTTTATTATTGATGTATTTAAAAAGCCATAGATTTCTGGGTGTTAATTTTGTATCATGCTACAATACTGAATTGATTTATTAAGTCTAATAATTTTTTGATGTAGTCTTTAGGGTTTTCTATGTACAATATCATGTCATCTGCAAATAATTATAGTTTTACTTCTTCTTTTCCAATTTGGATGACCTTTATTTATTCTTCTTGTCTAATTGCTATGGCTAGCACTTCCAGTACTATGTCCACCAGGAGTGGTAAGAGTGGGCAACCTTATCTTGCTCTTAGGTGAAATGGTTTTAGTTTTTACCCATTGAGTATGATGTTGACTATAAGTTTGTCATATAAGGTTTTGATTATGTTGAAGTATGACCCATCATATTTAGAGTTTTTATCAAGAAAGGATGTTGGATTTTGTCAAATTCTTTTTCTGCATCAATTGATATGACTATGTGATTTTTATTTCTCAGTTTATTTATGTGATGTATCACGTTTATTCATTTGAGGATACTGTACCATCCTTGCATCCCCAGAATAAGTCCCACATGGTCATGATGTATAATCTTTCAAATGTATTGCTGAATTTGATTTGATAGGATTTTGTTGAGGATTTTGGCATCTATGTTCATCAGAGATATTGGCCTATAATTCTTTGTAGTGTCTTTATCTGGTTTTGGGATTAGGGTAATGCTGGCTTCATAGAAAGAGCTTGGAAGTGTTCCCTCCACTTGAATTTTTTAGAATAGTCTGAGAAGGAAGGGTTATAGTTCTTCTTTGAATGTTAGGTAAAACTCCCGCAATGAAGCCATCTGGCCCAGGGCTTTTGTTTGCTTGAATTTTTTTTTTTTAAATATGTATTTTATTGATTGTTTACAGAAAGGCAGGGAGAGGGATAGAGAGTTAGACACATCAATGAGTTGCCTCCTGCACATCTCCTAGTGGGACATTTTCTGTCATTATTACTTCAAATGGGTTTTTTAATCATTGCTCCTATTCTTGTCATTCTGGCACCCCTATTATATGTATGTTACTTTGTTTCATTTTGTCCCAAAACTCCGGTAGGCTCTCCTGCTTTCTATTATAATTTGTTTCTCCAATAGCTGTTCAGATTGGGTGCTTTGCTGCCCTTTCTTCTATAATAATTCACTAATTGGGTCCTCAGCTTCTTCTAGTCTACTGTTGAAAACTTCCATCATGTTTCTTATTGTAACTATATCACTTTTTTATTTCCTCCTGATTCTTACATAAGTTGTTGATTTTCTCACCCATCTGATTTATGAACAGTAGGACCATTACCTTGAATTCTTTTTCTGATATATTGCATGCCTATGTTTCATTTAGTTTCTTTTCTAGTAATTCCTGCTTTTCCTTGTTGGGGATTGTTTTTTTCTTCCCATTCTTGCTAACACTGATCCAAAGTTTGCTTGCTGGATGTGCAAGGCTGGGCTGGCACCTTGGTCTTGGTGGGCAGGGAATGCAGACAGAGGCTTGATTATGAGACTCACAGGGCAGGAGCTGACTACTCAGTCTTGGAGAAGGAACTCAGCCAGAAACTCACCTGAGGGACTGTGGGGGCCAGGGTGATGCATGCTTGGTTGGCAGGGACACAGTTCACGTCACCAACAGGATGCTTGGGAACTATGCGATGGACTGGCAGGAGACGAGTATGCTCCGGGACCCACAGGAGCCCTCCTCCAGGGAGGCTGGAATTCTGGTGTCTGTGGCTCTACAGCTGAGGTAGCAGGTATTTGGCTGGAGTGCCTGTAGGGCCCAGGATGGAGTCTGAGTCTAGTCTGGGTGGTGGTGAGACTGGGCTCCTAGTTACAGCGGCTCTCCCCTTCAAGATGTCATGGTTTCTGTCAGGACGGCCACCCTGGGAGTGATTTCAGTAGTAGCAGAGGCCCTCCCTCTAGGATAACCTGGTCTGCCAGCCCCTGAATGTCCTGCAGGGTCTAACTGTCCATCACATACACACACACACACACACCTCACACTCCTTTTTCGCTCCTCCCTCACTCACACTCTCTTCGACATTGTCATTCTGCTAGCCACTGTTGTCCTATCTCATCATCATTAATGTTTCTATCTCTCTCTTGCCCTCTCCTTTCCTCTCTGAAGTTAATAAAATTATATATTTTTTAAATGGCAGTGGAGTAAGTGGATGCTGCAGGACCAAACTGGAATTACAACTAAATGTAAGAAAACTCCCTGAATAATCAACTGAAGACTCCCTGGAGAGAGGCCTGATACTCAAGGTTGAAAAGTGGAGACCACATAGAG